TTCCGTCTTGCGTTAGAATTGCCGTTTACAATGGCAGTGAGAATAGATTGGCACCGAGTCCACATCAGTAGTGTTCGAGGTGAGGGTGATAGTGGATTGGTCGTCGAAATTGTTCTCACCGATTACAGGGCTGAGAGAGGCGATGATAGCCGTCGCCGCCGCCGCGCAGTCAATAGCAGAGGTGATGGAGATGATGTTTTGATGGCGGCGGTGCCCTGACATTGTGGTCACTGGGGATGAGGGTGGCCAACAGCGTAAGCGCCGCCCGGGTTGGAACAGGAACGTTTGATGAGGCAGTGATTAAGGTTGGCAAGTAGTTAGTGCATTGGCTCCGGAAATGTTCAAAGAGACTGATTCGCGCGCGGAAAGTTCTCTAAAAGTGCGGGCATGTTGGAATGGGTTGACTTAAGACGCTGTGGACCGGGGACATCAGAGACTTGTGTGCCTTCCTCTTAACTTTGACGTTGGTGATCCCATTGCTATTATAGATTGTAGCCCCACTCTTCTCCATTTCGACCAGTCATGGACAAGGTCTTCCCAGATCGCTGAGTTTATTTGAAGGCACTTCAAGGAAGTCTTCAAGCTGCCCTTGTAGGTTTGAGCACTTTCAACGACATCTCCATAGACGAGGAGTTTATGTAGTTGCTCGTTGCTAATCCGCACGAGGAGACCGCTCCAGTGTAGTTGCAGTTGCCTTAGCATACTGTGGTTGTTGAAGATTCCGGCCTGTTCCAGAACTTCTGTCACTGTAATCTTGTCTTACCACTTCAGTTTACAGTATTTTTCTAAGACAGCTGGGGTGGAAGTGGTTGAATCGCCGCGTCTGTTGTAAATCGCCCAGGTATCCGCTTCATACAGCAGCGTCGTCAAGGTGACAGCTTTGTACATCTGGAGCTTTGTGTTGCGTGGCGATTGTAGCGATTCCGCACGGAATTCTTCAGCCGACCTAAGGTTTGGCTTGCTTTGGAGATACGGCGTGCCACTTCGTCGTCGATTCCGAGGCTGTAGAAAAGCGTCCTGCCTAAGTGGGTGAAGTTGTCCACGGCTTGTAGTTGAGTGCCTTTTACATTGTGGATAGTTTTTGAGCGACGGTTGAGGCATGCCCAAATTTTTGTCCGTATTCATCATTAGTCGGAGGTTGGCGCAGCTGGTGGTGAAAAGGTCGATGCCTCATTGCAAGTTCTCCGTCGTGGTTTTGAGTACATAGTCGTCCGCGAAAAGCAGGTCGTGGACTGTAGTCGTAAGTACATGCGTTAGAGCTTGCATATATCAGCCAAAATTTTCAAAGACAATGCCGTGGTAAAGATTGACCATTTTTCGTCGTCTACCCCTGTAATACTGCGCACATCAAAACGGAAGAGTATAAT